GCCGCCGAGTCCAAAACATCCTACTACTAGACAATGCAGTGCACAAATGCCCATGAAACGAAATGGAGACCCTGTTGACTGAAGAAGCCCTGCAGCTGCATCGGCAGAAACCCGTTTCTCGTACCGACACTCAAGCTCGAAAAGACCCGCCGTGGCAACGGGGTTCCGGCCAGCCAGGTGGCGGATAGCCCAAGAACACTTACGCACCCCCCGAACGTCAGTTTGTGAGGTATTGAACGAAGCTCACTGCTCCGGGGGAGCTTTCGTGAAAGCCCAGACAATCGAATGCAAACAAAGGGTGGGCTGCCTGATGCCCCAGCCAGAATATCCTAGACTCTAGTCCTAGACAGTGTGACCCACAAATGTCCATGAAAGGAGCCACAGTCACTGTCCGAGCCAACATCAAACCTTCCTGCAGCCGCCACTGGTGGGGAGGAGCTCAAAAAAAGCAAAACCCCCCCCTTCACCCCCCAGGTTCCCAGGCTCACGTTGTGAGGTATTGAACGAAGCTTTCAGAGGGAGTTTGGAGCTTTCGTGACTGCACTATTTGTTCTTCGTTAAAGGTTAGAAACCGGTAGACAGCTCTACAGCAGAAGGAACCTGTTCTGAATCATGGTGCGTCACTAGAGCCATCCGTCGCCATCACCTTCGCTCCAGCAAGCGTGGCTGTAATTGCAGCAAGACCGATGCCGGCACCCAGCTCGAGGACACGGCTGCCTCCTTGCATCCCGATCAGGGGTTGCAAACAGTACGACTTACGATATGAAAGCTAGAGTTGAAAGCCAAGGATCTGAAAATGCGAGAAGTGGTGGCTTTATGTTCCAGCCAGCGCATCATCAGGTAGCCAGATTCCCACAGCACCAAGGGCACCTCGCTAATCGCGCTGACATCATTACGCGTGCTGAGGCGGCCTCCTCGCCGTGGCACGTTGCGAGGTTGATAAATCTGCCATTCCCCTTCAAAGGTGCCAGGTACCTTACGAGTTGAACAAATACAACCCGCGCAGGCGGAATCTTCAACTAACTCGACTGGCTGCATCCTGGTCAAGTGTGAGGATGCGGCCTGACGCGGAGTTCCGCTGAGAGACGTCGACAGGCTCATCATTTCTAAGTGAACTGGCCTCTTTCTCTGTAGGCTGCAGATTCTGCAAACTGCTCTTCAAGCTTCACCAGCACTTGCTTGGAGTGCCACAACGGGATGTGACGCCTCTGCTGGCCCAGGCTATAAGCCCATTCGCTGCTGGAATCACGTACCAACATGTCTAGAAATGGCTGCAGGCCCCTCCACGCCCCCCAAAACAGGGGACACACACACACACACGTCGGTTTGGCAGAAATTCTTGCGTGTCCTCTGTTGTGTAGTTACCGATTAGAACATATTTTCAGCTTGCGTCTCGAATACTGACAAGCTTCACTGGTTGCCGAGGGTCTGGTTGTCAGAACCAATCGCCAGCGAACAGCAGCGTTCATAGGTGTACAAGGAATCAGGAACCCAGCATCTTTCTCCAAGATGTCCGTCGAAGATACAGCACACCCTGTCAAGTGGCCAAGCTCTTCGGGTCTGCTTTATCACACTGACTATCCGACTATCCGATGGAAACTATAGACCTGAGAATGTCTGGAGCTAGAGCACTCGAAGGTAAAGCAGCCGTTCATCTGGCGCTCTTTCCAAGGCATCGACGGCAGACAGTGCTCTGCATCGTACCAGCAGGATGGCAGCGCCGGCAATTGAGCGCCCAAAGCCGCACCGACACCATTCAGCCATGTGGCCATGAGAGGCCGGAAGAACTTGTCTGGTTACACCATCCACCAATTACAGGAGTCGTGAACGATCCCACCATGCAGCTCGGGAGTTGCATGTGACAATGCTATCCTGCACATCTCCAGCCTTCTGATCTCAGTTAGAAGCTTGCAAAACCGGATGCAGTCGCTCAGTCGATTGTTTCGACTGCTATGGCAGGCTTCACGGCCCGTCTGAAGAAACTCCTACCCCTTGCAAATAAAAGTAAAGGATGCACCATGAGCCCAACTGTCGACTGGACATTCGTTCACTTATGCGAAGCGACTGGCAGACAGGTTCACACCAAACAGGGCAGCTAGGGTGCAAAATTACAGCTTTTCGGAAGAGTGGAACAAGAGACTCAACACGGCTTTCAGCCTCGCCGGGGTTCTGCCCTCAACAATAATCTTGCCAAAATCTGGGCTCACCACCGGAGGGGCTACCCTCAAAGCCACAGAAAAGCAATCAAAAAGAAACTCTGTCGTTCGTGCATGTCAATTTCTCCTCTGCGCGTCATCCATCCGGACTCTAAGAGCGTCCGACACAACGAGATCGCCCCTTTCTGGACATCGGCTAATCTCGTCGGAGCTGCAGTTCCTGTATGAGTAACCGCCTTGCACATGCTCTGGCGTGGAGATTTCAAACTCAGCTGGCTGGCTTGGCATTCACTGCTCTTCCTCTGCAGAGCTCAAGCCTCGCCATCGGGCACCCAGTCGGACGAATGGCGACTTGAATCAGCTTTCATGTTGTGCAAGACGAGGATTTCAGACTTTTTCCACGCAGCCGTAAGCATCTTAAATTTGCGGGCCACGACACACCTCGCCTCGGCAGCAACTCGACATGCTCTTGAAAGTGTTAAATGGCCTGCCCCCCAGCCAAGCACACCATCGATTGAGCACCAACAAAGGCAGGTCGCCAAAATCTCCATGGCAGTGTAAGAAGTTGCTGACATGAGCCAGCTGTCCAAGTGGAGAATTGGGCTTGTGACGGCGCATAGGACCTGCTCCCGCTCAAAAACAGGCCACCGCAATCAAAACGCTTTCCAATCCAACTTATCAACTTATCCCGTTCTGGCCAGAGAACCGTGGAACTCTGGCGAGGTGTTGATCGGTCGCTTGCCGTTCTCGACAAGCTCTGCCCACCACGCTTGGCTGCTCTCTGCACGAGCCTCCACATGAGATATTTGTGGCACTTGCTCACGTGAGCGCAGCTTCTCTGGAAAACACAGTTGAAAGGCCAATCTCTCTTTTTGGCCAGGGTCGAGCTACAACTCTAAGCGCTTAGAGTCGGCTGCGATTTTCACAGCAATGTACTGCTAAGTTTGAACAACATGCAGCCACTAGCGCGAACTGGTGCACGGAAAAATGGTCATAGCTTCGACTGCGGAGACCGCTCCGACGGCAAAACGTAGTTCTCATCGCTAAGTTTTCCTCGGATCACTTTCTTGTCGAGCTTTCCGGTTGTTGTCATCGGAATCGCATCCCACACCTTTCAGGAGTGCAGGTACGAGATACTGTTTCGATCTGACACGGAGTGACTTATACAAAAGGCAAGAGACTAGGACGTCGTCTGGAAGTTGGAACTTGGCGAAGGCGGAAGACAAATGCCGTCTTACACGGTCTAAGAGATTCTCCGCACTGCTGTCCTTCGCGAGTGTTACCACCTGAGCCAACTGTGAAAGGTGGGAACATCCAGCTCTGTATGTGGCCAGCTTGTCAAAATCTTGCACGGCGTGCATGCTCGACATGAAGCAGCGGCAAGCAATTCGTGTGGCTGAGCAGTCTGCAGCTACTGGCCGTTCGTCCCACCGGGCGTGAGGCACAGCTACCACAGCGGCAATGTCGATTTCAGGCATGGCCATTATCCTTGGCTCCGTCGTCATTTCGCTTAAGTTCATTCTCGCGTTGCTGAATCATGTCAAGGCTCATGTTCTCCATATCAATCGAAGAAATCCACTCACCTCCTGACTTCACAACCTTGGCCATGCTGTCTGTGGCTTAGAGCCCCGAAAGTACAGCATCTGCTTAAGATCCCCTTCGGCGCAGTTAGTTCAGGCAAGACAACATCTTTGGAGCGATCGCAAATGACGACCGCTCCCTCCTCATCAATTTTGGCTACATCTCCAGTGACAAGCCAACCGTTGTGGAACTTGTCTGGTGCATCCACTTGGAAGTATTCCTGGCAGGGAAACTCATGAATATTCCGGATCGAAGTGGCAAGCGGCACTACGCTACTCCACATCGGAGGTCCCTGGCATTGCACACCCTTCTTGAGCTGAACAGGCTTGACATGATTCTCCGTTGTATCCGCTGAGTGTGCGTTGCGATGTCGTCGTGGAGCGCTTGCAACGGATGTAAAGCTTTGAGGCAATTTCTGGCATTCTAAACAAGCTTGACAGTTGGCCATTCGTCCACCCACCTACCTACAGCTCATGCTCTTACGCACTGACCTGCTGCGGACTTTGGGCTTGGACAATCGAAATTTGGAATTTCAGACGCAGCGAGTCCGGGTCGCTGAGCCATGTTCTGGCCCTGCATGCCCTAAGGTTGTTCTGCTGTCAGACAACACGAACGACCAGGCAGTCTACATACCGTGGGCCCATGCTGCCATGATGGTGGGACAGTGAAAATACCGCTCGAAATGCTTGATCATACAATTATACACTGGTCCTGAATGATCCACGGTCCCCGTACGAGCAACTCTCCGGGCTGATCCCGTGGCATGTCGGCATCGAGGTTGTCAGGGTTGGCCTCGAAACCATGTGCCATCGGCAGCCACGTGTAGTGTGCATGCAATATAGCTGCGGAGTCCCATCCTGCAAATTTCGCCTGAGACGATGCCGAGTAGCTATTCGCACTTGTACTCCCGGAAGTGGAAGACCAGCCTTGACAACCTTACAAAGTGATTTGAGGCACGGTCTACCGTACAGAGCTCTCGTGAGCTGAGGCCGCATCGTTTTTGAAGGTGTCATCCACGCTCTTCTCTTTGTCCGCATGCTTTGCAACCTTGGATGCAGGAATGGCTCGTTGAGGGTTGCTTTGATGTTGAGGGTGCATGGAAAGCGGAGGGATCAAGCTCGCCGGCACCATGATTTTGACTCTTTTGGCCCCACTCCTCGAGGTTCGGGTTTCACGCTCAACTGCTTCTAGCTTTTCGACTTGGCAGATTTGGTTCAGATTTCCTGTGAGCTTTGGCGTTTATGCTTACAGTTTACAGGATGTGGGATTCCGGCTTCAGGATCTGTAAAGGTCTATTGAGTCTATTGGGGAGGCAAGCTTCGGGCTTTGAGGCTCTTTTTTTTGAAGGTAGTGGGTGATATTGATGCCACGATACGTAAGGAAAAGGTCTTGGGATTTACGCTTTCGGATCCTCTGACTTAGCCTGCGCAGAGTTGCAGGGCATGCAAATTGGCTTGTCGATGTCCAAAGCTTTCTGCAGGTTCGATTGGGTATCTGAAATTGAAGGTTTTATGCTTACGCTTTTTCGGGCTTCGGCGCTCACACTCGGACGATCCAGGCGACGCAACCTTTTGCGGGTTTACGTTCTCACAACTCGGACGTGCCAGGCGAGGCTCCGCTCGGACAATCCAGGCGAGGCAATGTGTGCGAGGTCCGCTAACATGTGAAACACACGATTGAGAGCGTAGACAGCAATGCAGCTTCCCTAAGAGATACACCTGACATAGTGGGCTGTCGGTCTCACTGAGATCTCTGCTCTGCGAGCTACTTTAGTTCAAGACCTCAGCCGCTACTCTTGGCGAGCTGCTCTGGAGAGCTAGGTAAAGTATTCAGAGCCTTGACTAACATGATGGAAGACCCCGGGACGGAGCGGGTCAGCACGGGGAACAGCAGTTTCCAAAATCTTCTCGATTCTTGGCTCGTCAAGAGCACTGGGTTCTTCTACCGTCTACAGGATGCGCACTTCACATTCTGGCGGTTTTGGCGCTCACACTCGGACAATCCAGGCGAGGCATGTGGTTCTGGCGGTTTCAGGTTTCGGCTTCAATCCTTATGTGTTTATGCTCGGGCATTTCCTCACCGCTGTTTAGGGTGTCCAAGGTTCAAGATTTACGTGTCTACGTTTCGGGCTTTGAGGACTTTAGGTTTTGGGGGTTCGGAGCTTTTGAAAAGCAGGCACTTAGGGTGTGCAGTTTTTCAATTCTTGGGTTTCGAGGGTCTGGCTATTCGAACGCAGACTTCGTCTTTCGAGCCTCACTCTTAGACAAGGCACGCAAGGATTCAGATGAACGCTGCCTTCCACTGCTCATGTGGGATACAGCCTTATTCGGCTTTAGGGTCAGGGTTTGAAGTCTTTCAAACTTTCTGGGTTTCGAACTCGTCGTTTTTACTCTTGGTTTTGGTTCCTTCTGGACTGGACCTTGCATCGGACGAGTTCGGGCTCGCGTTTTCGCGAGCAGTATTGGGAGACAGCCGCAACAAGTTGGAGAGCAAGGACGGTGCTGAAAGGCTTGTGGAATCTTGTGCTTCGGTGATGCAATGTTCCAGTTCCTGCGGCATAGTCTTGTGGGCGTAGCTGCAATCATGGTGCTTGGGATTTGAGGCCAGCATTACTCTCGGGCAAATGTCTGCACTCCCAGGGTGGCCTGTTCGGATTCAAAGACTGGTGTTCCTGCCGGAGCCCACATCAGAGCTAATCATTTCTGCATTGTGCGCTGAATCAGCCTGGTCGCCCTGATCCCAAAGGAACCCATCGGGTTGGTCTCTGTCATGCCCCAACCTTGGTCTCTGTGCTGTCGCTACAGCTGCATAATTTGCATGGACCGGCCTTGCAGGAACTCCACTCCAAGCCTGAAAGCAGCACAAGCCGTGGCATTGATCTGGCAAGGGTCCCTCCCGCAAGAAGCTTCACAGAGATCTGATCTTGACCGCTTTTTGCACTCCGAGAAACGTGTCGTAGAACCACCGCATCAGTGCAGGCTGCGGTGCACTTCCGCCACAGGTGAGCCTCTTCAAGGTCAGGCCTTGGCGGATCTTCTCCACGCCTTGCTGCCTGAAGCATGGGCGAAGTAGCGGATTTTTAAGGAGATTCCTGATTCCCGTGTTCGATCAAGCAGCTCGATGTGAGCTTTGACACCTTGCCAGACAGTGGGCACACCAAGGGAGATGTCCACCTGGAGGCGTGCTGCAAAAGTGTTTTCAACGACCTCTGATTTGAGCCGTGGTCGAGCCTTCCAATCCGTCATCATCTTCACCTCGGTGAATCATCTTGGCCATCGTCGAACTAATATGGACAAAACGCATGATGCACTGCCTCAAAGACCGAATGTTAAGATTGATAAGATCGTCACCAATGTGGCAGGATCCATGTATCTAGATGTGAAGATTGCTCGCGCACCTCGTGCCGCAAGGCTGATTTGCAACATTCTGTGCTTCCACCAGATTGTAGAAGAGAGGCCGATCATGAGCATGGCAAAGGGTGTCCCCCAGCTCAGCACATGGAACATGGGCACGAAAGGGAGCACAACCTTCCACAGAAACACGAACGGGCTCGCTGAGGTTCGGCTTCTGTCATGTCCTCTTGCTGCCTCATATCCACGAAGGCAAAGCTGGTCCGCTCCAACCATCATCAGCGTGTGCCTCACAACGGCTGTCACATATATGCCTTTTGCCAGATGTCCCGTGCCCTCATGCTGCACATGCTGCCAAGGCGGAGACAGAAAAGTGGATCGATGGCTGTAGGCGACACCCTTGGGCTTGCCAGTGGTTCCTGTTCGGCCATGTTATGCCGCATGATGCAAGAACGCCCTGTAGTGCCAAGCCTTACTATGCCGCTCTAAGAGGGAAGTACAACGGAGCAGCAAACAACCGCGGTACTGTGCCAGTGAAGGGAAGATGCCAACTGCCCCCTGGGGAAGCATGTAGATCAGGCATTGTCGGAGGTATGGACTACTTTTTTGCCGGGCTGCTTTGCCTTTTGCTTCATTTGCTAGGCAAAGGTCTTGTGTTCTGGTGGTTCCCTTCTCCCTCCTTGCCAATGTCTTTGCTACTGGGATGCTGCTGCGATGCGACCCGCGTTTTGGCACCGCGCTTGCTTGCACGGCTGGTGTCCTGCTGGGGCACCAGACAAAACCAAAGGGCATTTTTGGCAAACCACCCCAAACCAGGGACATGCCACATTACTAACTTTGGACAAAGGTGGGTGGCATGCCCGAATGGCCAAGCTGATGAGGGTCACTTGCCGTGGTGGGTTGGATAGGTTTGATGAATTTCGGGCTGGTGCTTGCAAGATCTTGCAGATTTGACTGACATCCTTTGGCTTCGGGAAGTACTCTGGATTTGGTCTGGGCATGGCTATGGCTGTAGTTGCCAGTCAACCTGAAGACTGTGGCGGCATGCGACAGAATGTCGCGAGGCTCGGATTGACTGTATCGTGTGGATGGCTCACTTTGTGGCAGTTCTCCTTGACTCGCCGGCTGGTTGCGAACAGCAGTTTTGTAAACTACATCTGTCAAAAATTGTAGCACTGGCTCTCTTACCATCTGTTACAAGACAAGCGTGGGAAGGACAGAGCAATGCTCTGCCGAAGAGATTCCCCAACAACGAGCTTCCGCCTGAAGTGTAGCAAAGGCCCATTGTCGTGGTCTCCGCGAAGACAGGCCACTGAAAGTCTGCAGTGCCAGTGCTCAGAAACTGCTCATAGTCCATCGCATCGACTCCCTGCAATCCTGGAAGCGTTGGGAACAGAACCAATGCCAAGCAAAACTCTTTGCACTATGTCCTGGCGGCAGCTGCCACTTGCCAGGTAAGCCGTCATCCCCAAGGCCTGGGACATGCAAGCTGCCCTTCCGGTGGGCTCCAATGCTGTTCATCAGCCAATGGGGTCAACTTCCGTGTTTGGTGTTGCATAGAAGCTCTTTCAACAGCTTGATGGCGAGCTGCAGGAAGTATCACACTACGGTATCTACGACGTTCACCAGATTCCGACTGCCGACGGGGTGCAAACCAAAAGCTCGACCTTTGCCATAACTTGTTTGTCCACTTCCGCGAGGAGGTCAAGCTTGTCTGCATCCGAGAAGATAATGCCTCAAAGGGCGCTTCTTTTAGACAGCAGTTGAAGTGTCATGTTCTCTCCGCAGCATTGTCTGCAGTTGTGTGGCGGTCACGCGCATGCTCGATTATGTACCCAAGATCGGCTGGACCCAGTCGTAGATTTAATGTATGGAGGACAGCACCCATACACGGGATGGCATGGTAGCCTGGGATGGGCAATCGCAACGGGCCTTCCACAGATCAGAGTGCACGAAAGCTTCAGCAATCAGTCAAGGATCACTCGTAATGCCAAGCAGTGTTCCACATCAGCGTGGCAACGCGGTCCTCGAGCTTCACCCCCCATTTGGAGAGAGCAGATGCGAGGCACTTGGTCCGTCGCAGGTGCTCCAAATACGTTGTCGTATGATATCCTTGCTTGGGGTCACATGGACGCACATCTGATAGTGGATGCGCCAAAAGTCTACACTCTACAACAGCCCCAAGCCTGAAAGCAATAAGCTGCATTTCAAAGGGCCATTGGACGTTTTTGTGACGATGAGATTCCCAGGCTGCAATGTCGAGCCTGGTGCCACGCATCACGGTGATCTCTGACACATTTACCACGATGGAGGTGCAATCAAGCGCAACTACAAAGCTCCTCGGTCGACGAGCTGGCCTTAGCAGGTGGCCGAGAACGCGATGCTGGGACTTCGCGTGGGCATCAAGAAGCTTTTCGACAAGCTGCTCAGCAACAGCGGCTCGACATCTCTGCAGTTGACTTTCAGTTGAGCTGCCATAGCTGCACTGCGCAATAGCGCTAACTGGCGCTAGCTGGGATCCCCAGGCTTGTTCCGAAACAGCAATCTTCGACACTGCAGCGAAAAAAGGTCCGTCCTTGCGTTCATTGCTTTCGAGCATTTGGGGTAGGCAGGAGCCTTAGCAGCAGCCTCCGTGGACTCGTTGGGGCAGCGAGTTGTGAGGAAATGTCCTGGCTGAGGCACTAAAGAACGGGACGGTGACGTTCCCGACGAGTCCTCACATGAGGAGTTGAGGCAGATTCGGCCAAAACAGTTGCGCAGGAACTCGCTGCTATGTAGGCCTAGCTCCTGGACATGAAAGCTTTTGCATGTCAGGTCTCAGTGGAGCAAGCAGGCGCACTGCAATGGCACCCTTGGGGTAGCACAGACTGCATGGACTCGGTCTTGAAACATCGGCTGCCCGGAGCTTCAAAGCTCTCCTTGGTTTCGAGGTGCAGCAAGTGTAGCTTTCCATCACCAGAAGAAACTGAGGACTAATGACTACTGTAAGTTGTGAACATGGCCAAACGTGCAGGCTTTGGCTCAAGGCCATGCCAAGCATGGGATGAAAATACATGGAAGCTCTCATCACCATCGAGGCCGTCGCAACCCGCCAAGCTCAGTCGCCGCATTCCCTTGTATGCTGCGAATCTCGCCATGCCTCAGCGAGAGCCGACGTGCATCCGACCACAGGCCGCCAGGCCGCGATCCGGATCTAGGAAAGTGACTGGCAGAGCCAAGTTTGACATGGCCGCCGAGGACGAGATCGTGCAGGCAGTGCAGGGCCGATAGCATCTCATCCACATGCCTTGGGCTTTGATTGAATTGACTCCGTCCATTCATCCGCAGTCTCTGCGCTTCATTAGTGTAAGTGCAAACTGTGATCCGTTGTTTCCCAGCGCAAGACTAGCAGTTTTGCTCTGCCAACCCCGCCATAAATGCATTCTGCCGCCCGACACATCTGAACACGATGCGGCGCTACAGGGAGAGAGTCCAATCTCAGCACGATGAAAGCTTGTATCGGGAAGCCAGTTTACAAATGAAGGCATGGCAGATGACGCTGGTACATCCGAAGTTACTTGTCCAGCAGAGCGAACGCCTCGACGAAGGGGTTGCTCACGTCCTGAGCGGACGCACAAGCAGTGCCGATTCTCTGAACGCATCACTCAAGCCAGTCTTGTCCTTGGCGGAGGTTGTCAGTGAGAGCACCTTTCCACGTCGGATGTTGAGTCGTGCCATGCTGCCTTATATATTGAGGCTAAGCTGCCTGAAGACCACATGGGAGCGCCGGAAGTGCCAAGCGCGGCCTTGTTGTCCGCAGATGTAGACGCGAAGGGCTGCCCTCACCTGCCATGCTCCCAGATGCGATTGCTCGCAAACGTGCCACCTGCCTTGGCCTTGGAAAGAAGGCCAAGGTCCAGCTGCTTCGACTGGATCCAAGCAAAGCTCCTCGATGGTGTGCAGCCCAGATGGCCAAGAGGAAGGCAGCATCATCTGCGTATTCTTCCTTGCCGGGGTGCATGGTGTTCGGATTCTCACACCACACGTGCCGTGTGGACCTAGACTGGTACCAGCCAAGTGTCAGCCCCCAAATGCCCAGTCCACTCAAAGCTGGGAGTGCTGCCAGTTCCTCGCCAGCTGGTGAGGTCAAGCACAACATGACAAGCTGCGGGCTGTCACGAAGAATGCATTTTGCACGATAATGTTCGATGAGCTTCACTGAAGACTTCGCTGGACAGGGAACACTGAATTAGGTCCAATCGACGAAGAGCTGGAAAAAGCCTTAGCTCGTTCTCGAAGGCGTCTGCGTAGCTGCTCCTCTCCGAGTCTCCTGAGTCGCCTGCCTGCCATGGCTGGTAATGGTGCACAGCTCCTGATACAAGAAACGAGACATCAGATGAAGCGGTCGTCTCCGAACAGCGCAAAGCAGGTGCAGTGATGAAGCGTGGCCGAACTCCTGCATACCGAAGGAGTGCAAGATCAATCGACCGAGCATGCTAAACGACTTCTGCAGCATACACCTGCTGGCAAAGAGAGGCACAAATGGTCGGAGTTGGTGAGCCCTCAAACGTGGAGAGTAGAGCTGAGAGCTTTGGGGAGTTGTGGTCTGGGCTTTCCTGGCTAAGCTTCTTTGGTTGCAAGCTTGCTTGTCTTTCATGTCTGCATCTTTTAAGAGGTCTCGAAACACCTAGAGTCGGGCAAGTAGGGCTGCTAGCAAGCCCACTCGTTGTCTAGGCGAATCTTGGGCAGTCGTGGGCAGTTGTTAGAACTGCCAAAAGGACGCTGCACGCTACAAACGACGAAGCAAAGTATTTAGGTACTGGTACGAGCAGCACGGCATGGACCGAAACAACAGAGAAGAATAGCAAAGGAAGTCTGGTTACACCTCTGCAAATCGTCCGAGCGCAGAAGCATCTCGCCGGCTTGTCTGAAGCAGGAGTTGACGGCAGTATTGCCTCATCTGGCGACATGAACCCCTGAAATGCCAAAGAAACGATTCAAAGGGACCTCGCGGCCAAGAGGCGCAGTGCCAGACCAGTCACCTCGTTGGACCGCATCGCCGCAAAGTCGGCGAGTCGAGCTGCAAATCGAGCGGCCGCAGACGAGCGAGGCTCTCCAGCCATACTCTCCTGCAAGTGAAAGTGCCACGGGTAGCTGTCCATCCAGAGTGAGACAGAGTGAGATGTGTCTGCTAAGGCTTCTATCAATAAAACTCAATTTTTTTTGCTTCTCTTTCGACATCCTCCAGGAGAACGACCTGGAGCCAAAAGCTCGTCACGGCCATGCCAGCAGCATGGAGGCTACGACAAGTGTACATGGCCCGGGTGCCGTCAGAACCTCGGCACTTGGTGGGCCCAAGCCTTTACGCATCCAGGGACATTTGTCAGAATCAATAAATGACCAAACATAACTACCATGACCATGCTTTGACGAAGCTGCGACCAAGATGTTCCAGACACCGCACCTCAAACGACTCCCACGGTGTGTTCCCACGTTCGCCATGAACAAACCATCGTACACCCTAAGCCCTCCAGACTGTACCGAGCCGCTAGAATGCCTTCGGTGAGCGCCACCCAAGGCAATGTGCTGACTTTGGCCACTTCGCCCCCGCCTGCTGTGCGTTTGACACAGAGATCCGACCCTTCGAAGCCGCAGAATGCCGCAATGTGCTAGACTATGTACGATGTAGAAGGCTTTACTATCGCATTTTCTACTTTACCATATTGCAATCTCTGTATACTTGTATAATGTGATACAGACAGAGCTATGACCTGGCCTTCAGACGCTTTGACGCGTGGTGCTGGCTTGAACTCCAGCTGAGGGCATGGAGACGCTGATTTCGCAGCATTGCTCTCAGAAGTGAAAGCCTTGGAGTACAGTTTTCGAGCCTCTCTAATCGCTCTTGTGCAAAACATGTAGCAATGCTATTCACTCGAGCTGCAGCATGAAGGAATTGCAAGCTGCCATCATGCGCCTGCGCGCATGAACAAGTCGAAGGGGGCATGCCACTTCCAACACAAGACTTAGCTGTGTCCAGCTGAAGGTGCCATCTCTCTAGCAATACTCCTGATTGCGCTCGCTGTAAACTCCTCATCTGCAACAAGCTGCGTCGAGCTGACTCTGAAGCTGCAAATGCAAAACTCGCTTGATTGTGATAGCTCACCGCTCACCAAGTATCTTCAGCAGTGTCGTTGCCATTGAAATGCGCCCGAAAGTGCTTCGATGCGATGTCACCTGCGAGGCTAGTCTCTGGACCTGTTGCAATGGCTTCGCTTTTCCAGTGCAAGACGTGGCGCAGTCGTATGCGGCGTCTACCAAGCATATCCTTAGTGAATCTTAGTGAGAACATTTGAGAATACAGAGCATCTGAATACACCGGTCGCTCCATCAGCTTCACGCTTTCTGTCAGACATGTGTCACGAGCAATTGCACCACTGAGTCTGGCAATTCATGCAGCTGTGGTGCCATGGCTAGTGCTGCTGCTACCTCTGCTTTCTTCCTGGAGTCTGTGCTGCGATTCTGTGAGTACATCTGAGAACTTTGTCAACGTTGGCTCTGCAACTTCGCAAAGAGGCTGCTCAGCCGGATCCTTTCGGCCAAAAGAGATTGCGCGACCGCGTGAAGCCCCTTCAACCAACAATGCCCAGTTCAACTTACATGAGCCCCTGAAGAGCCCAAGCGCAGAATGGACGTGCACTGATCCCTCGCGTGATAAGGACAGCGCCCCTCACCACGGCAAAGGCATCCAGAACGGAGACCTCGCGGCAAACGGCGGCTGTCAGCGCGAGATTCTTGCTCAGGAAGGATATGGGTTCGACGGGGTGTCTGCGACTCTCTACGCCGTCGTCTGCCGTAGTGCCGCTGAACTCCACTGACGTGTCATCCCCAAAGCATACAGGCCAGCCGACACGCAGGTCCCCATTGCGATACTGCGATGTCTATTCCCGTTGCAGTATGGTAGAATAATGCACGGCGTCCTCGTCTTCACTGCCGCCTCGATGTCCCTAAAGATCATCGAAAGAAGGGCCGTTGCTCCAGGCATGAAGATCTGCTCCAGCCAAAGAGGTAGTACAAAGTGAGCTCACACGGTTGGCTGCCTTTCAACAGCCGTATGACGAGGCCCTCGGAGCAGTCGGGAGAGTCGAAGCGAATTCACATCGGCGTCGCTGAACCCGAACGGCTATTCGAACTGTTGACGGAGTAGGATCGCTTGGCTTGCCGCCCATGCATGCGCGCCTTGGACTGGCTAAGTAATGTGCCCGCTCTCCGTCCTTCCGCGAGTTTCTGGGTTGGAGACCGAGCTGTCTTGCCAAAGTGCCCAATCCAACTCAGGCTGCCTCTACTCTCTCTTGCTGGTTTCCTGGGGACTTGGGCACAGCAAGGCTCGGATTGAGTGTAACACGCAAGAGTTGTGCTGTCCATACCACCGCCTTGCAGGCTCCAAGCCTGACAACGCCCTCGAAGTAACTTTGCAGTTCGGGTTCGGCCTGTGGCCGCTGGAACTCCCCTCCAGGGCCCCAGGGCGTCGATTCAGACGAGCGAGGCTTCGGCTGCCACAGGCAAAGTGCGAGTACAGCCACTGTTAGTTTTCATTCCTGTCACCCAGATGCAGCCAAAGGCAAGATCAGCAGACATGGAGAAATGCCCCTGACTGCAAGACCCATGCTTCTCTTAATCCTACAGTACAAGTCTCTCGCGAAAACACATGCATGCACCGTGCGTGGTCGGGCCACTCCTTGGGACCCGCCAGGCGACACATACCCACCGCATCCCACAGCCACACATGCAAACATGCTGACTTCAGGGTACTGTCATACCTCCGTTCTGGTGTTTACTGCAGGGCTGCCAGCTCAGCAGCTAGGCCTCTGTCAGCTCAGATGTGCTGTAGTCCTGCAGCACATCAGATGCTACATGTAATGCAAATCTTCTCTTAACAGCAATTGCCCAGTATTTTCCACGAAGGCGTTGACCGATTGCGTGAGCGAGTATCCCAGGCTGGCAAGCGCTAACAGTGTCGCTGAGATCGGAATCTGCGACGCAACGCAGCCTCCTGAGATCCTGCGGTAATTCACGCGCATACGAGATTGTCCGTGCTCCAAGCAGGCTCCACAGAAACATCGAGCTCTGCGATCCTCTTCAGAACGTAGTGCATTGTAGTGCGAAGCTAGGGCAGGCTTGGGGCAGTAGCTGCTTGCATGGAAAAGACGTGGAACGGCATTGTATGTGCACGCCCGTCTGGGTTGACTTCAGCCAAACCACAGCGAGCCGACAAATACCGGGTGCCAGCTGGAAAGCACCCAGCTTAGGCAACAACGCAACCTCAGGGTGGTATACCGCCCTGTGCTGCTTCAAATCGAACTAACATGGTTCAAGGTCGAATGCACTTCAGATGCAGGGTTAATGGCCCTGCTCCGGTGCTGCAATATCATCGATCATTGCATGGATTTCTGTCCGTGATGTGCGAGTGCTTGGCCGTGGCTTCCCGTCCAAGTACCACTCGGAAGTGGTCTTGGTGGGACTGTCTGCTGGGTTCTCGTCCTTGTACCAATCCTTAAACTCTCAAACGATGCGCGACCTCATGCAGATGCGACCCCGTGAAATTGCAACACTTGCCCTATGCAGCAACTGGAAGCTAGACAACAGCTCGCTTGACAAGAGGCGGACACAGATTCGTAAGACAGAGCCGCCGTTCTCGCAGGCTTGTTTGAGATGTCTTCTTCGACCATGTCGTTCTCGGCCTCATTGACATCCTGAGCCCAGTGAAGAGCAACGTTGACACAAACATTAGACAGGCCAACTTTGAGCATTTTGAGCAGTTTCGTTAGCACCGAAGCGCCTGCGGAACTGCGGATGCTTGCTGCGGCTCCTTTGCACCTCACGTTTTGGTCCAGGAATCTTTCATAAACATGCTCGCAGCAAAGGACCGGGGCATGGGCTGGCACTTTCCTTCTGGCCCTCTTGCAGCATTGGCATCCTTTGTGCGATGAACGCCCGCGGCCCGCAACAGCGTCTGTCTCCCTACACGGAAACTGGCTTTCGAAGATGATCTACTCGGAGCATCACTTGACGGCCAAATTTCTGGTGCTTGCACATTTTCTAGAAGCTAGAAGCCGGCACTTCGCTTCTCTTTGATGGTTCTTATATTGCCATTTTATGCCGAGTCAATTGCCAGCTCGGTATGAAACTGCTTCACCACGTGGCCCCCTTGTCTCAATGGGGCTATGGACCGCGCACGTTGCACTGACTGAGGCGAGGCAAGAGAATCCTTGTTCCGCTTAGTCAGCCGCCCACTTGCCCCCATGCCTGGAAGTCCTGCCGCCATCCCACTTTTATCGCGGTTGCTAGGGCTGGTGGGGCATGCCACCTACTTCCACTAATGCCTGCTTCTGAGCAGCATGCGTGCAAGATCAGCTTTTGACTTTTGATGACCCGGTGTCTGACTCTGCATGAGGCATTGACTGCTCCCAGCGGGATCTAGCCTTGGGATATCAGCGCAGTATAGCACAGTCAATGTCAGGGTGCATTTGTTCTGCTTCATGTTGACACGTCTTTGGCATACCGAAAGCGTGGCCGAACGTATCAAACATGTACTGTGAGTCTCCAGTACTATGAAACGACAACTTGTCCTCTAATGTGTGTGTGTGTGTGTGTCTGTGCCGTGGCCTATCGACGGGTACCAACAGAAATTCAGGACATTACCTGCCGCAGAGTTGCGGATCATCTAAGTTGAGCAATGTGCGACCTTCAAAGGCGATGGCCCCGGTCAATGTCGGCTCGTCCAGCTCAAACAGTTGACACTCGAAGTGTGCGAGCTGATCCACAAACTCCTCGATCAGTGGAGTCAACTAGGGCATGCCTCTATTGCAACCAACCAAGCAAATAACACCTCGACTGTTATATACTTTCGTCTTGAAGCGATTCCTTGCGGGGATCCGCGACTGTTCGCCTCTCTCGAACATGGTCGTATGCTTGGCGGAGGCTCATCCGCTCGTACTTCATAAGATACCCGAGGACAACAGATGCCGATCGAGACACGCCTTGCGCACAATGCACCAGGACATGATGCTGCTCATTGGAAGAATAAGCTTCCTTGATGAACTGCAACGCGCCATCCAGCTCAGGCAAAATGTTTTGATCTGCAGTGTCACCGAAACTTATCTTCTTGTACACGAAGGGAAGGCCTCGCTCGCGATTGTATTCAGTGTAAATCTCCCGGAAGTCATCCTTCAAATTGACATCGTGCGCCAAATTGAGGACGTGCGTGATGTTTGTTCGAATCGTCATTTCCTTGTCATTCTCTAGGTTGCGCTTGCCTTTGATGACGATTCTGCTTGTAAGCAGCACGCCAAACTACTACAATGAATCTGGCTATGTCATTTTGTTACATAAATCTAACTCCCAGCTGTGTCTCCGCCAAGAAATAGCCATGGAAGGATCTCCTCAGCGACAAGGCTTGTCTTGTTCAGCCAGCAGCGGGAAGGTATGCCGTGCTCACTGTCAAGACGAGCATCGCTGGAATGCGCGGTCATGTGTGACTCGAAGTGCTCTTTCAGCACTTCCTTCCCACAGCGAGGGCAAACCACCTTCTCCCTGGCTGCAGTTGGATCGATCTGAGATAGATCGATGTCCTCAATCTCCTCCAAGAGGCTGGCACAGAAACATGCTGCTTAATGCATCCAAGGAAACCGCGTGCCTTGGCCTCTTCTAAATCTTTCCTCATCTGCTCTGCGAGCTTACAGCTTTGGAACTGAGAGCAGAACTGAACTGAAATCAAGAAGAGCGTCTTCTTTCCAACCGCTTCCACCTTGCTTAATAATGCGCTCATGCCAACACCGGCACTTGCCGTGGGCTTGAGCGGCACGGCTTTCGGCTTTGGGGCAGCTGCCTGCGCTGATTTGGAAAGAGAAAGAGAAAGAGGCATCAGATCACTGCCCGGCTCCCGGCTCCGCTTCCGGCGCTCCTTTGGAGGCGGCGGCATCTTGGACTTTCCCTTGCCCTTCCCCTTTGGCAAAGCCTGCGCAGCTTCGATTTGCCTACCGGATCTACTAGTACCGGCGGCTTTGTCTCACCGTGGAGCTCTCATGCTGGCCATGCAGGGTCAATGCTTTAGAACGGTTTGACGCTCGAAAGTAACTGCCACAGTACCAGCGCCTGCTCGCCCGTATCGGAGCTGATCCTGGCAGTGGCACCTGCCTCCAACAGTTCCGAACAGACCTGTCCATGAAGGCAGAACGCAATCTGCAGGGCTGTCTCGCACCTGTTCCTGCCTCCCGGTCCGCGGGCAAAATCCTGTCCCAGATCAAATACTACATAGCCTACCCGCGGGATGTCTCCAGGAATGTAGTTTCTTTTGCAGCCATCTCCTTTCACAATTTTTCGCAGGGACTGCTACTTTCGACACAGTTTTCGCGGGAGCCTTTGCGGGCCCCAGCAAGGCAAACCTCCCTCGTGCGTAGAGGCACGTTGCAACATGCAAAACTCGAGTGGGCAGGTTCAGTGAATGATTCGCTTCGCGAGAAATTGGCGTCGGCAAAGCCTGCCTTGCATCCGGGGGTTTCGACATGGAAACGAAGCGCACTTCGGACGTGCAGCCGGCAGTTATGCTGATGCAAACGGAAACTGGATTCGCACCGGACAAGGAGGTGCAGCATCCCATCTTCAAATTACACAATGCATAGGCTGATTTTCGATTGGTTTGTCAGCAGCCAAGACACAGCGTAGGCAAGACTGACATGAACTTGTTGCTGCCTCTCCGCTGCAGGCATGGCTTCCTCCTGTAGCGTCCAGTGCGTCAATACATGTACGGTCTCGCACTGAGCTTTCCTAGCAGACGAATGCCTGTGGCGATGAAGCTGTCCCCCAAGAGTCACATCTGGTGTCGGTCGTGGGCACCGGAGGCGCCTCTGCTTCAGCAGTTTGAAGCAGCCTCGGTGGTAGGATCCTGGCCTCCGAAGCTCTGCACCCACTGCCTCATGCACAGCACAGGCTCGAGCTTCTGCCGTCCAGAGAATTGGGTCTTGCTGGCTCGTGCATGAGATCTATGAAGTCCCTGCCTTCGTCATCCTTCAGCTGCACATTGGACTTGGCGGCTTCGCCGCAATCCAACTTCGGAATGTCGCCTAGCGCCCAACGCCTTCCCTAACTGCGTGCTACGCACTGTGCTCTGGCAGGGTTGCTGACCAACCACTGGTAGTGCCCCCGTTACCACTCTCAAGGCAAAAGCAGCCCATGCTGGCTTCGTTCTCAGCCTGGAGAAACTGCCGCGCATGCAGGTGGAGTCGGCGTCGCCGAGCCTGAACCTAGGCAAAGTTGACCGTTCAACAGCAAGGACTACCATGAGAGGATTGACCGGGGGGGGGCGTGTGAAGCGAAGGAATTGGTGATCGTGTTGGTGGCTTATCACCAAATTCCAAGTGGGCCGGCTGGCCGCGTTGGGTTCGGCACTCACACATATTGGTTTAAGGAGCTGACCCCCTCCCCACGCCCGACCTGAGAGACTTCCCGATCCAATGCTCATGAAGTTTAAGCCAACCGCAAACTCACATCCTATGAAACACTCAAAAATGTGCAGCTTTCGTACCTGGACTGCCTCTACTGTGCAAAAAACCCAATTCCACACTATGCCCACTCATCTCTTGTAAATATTAAGCTTACCATATCTTCTTCAGCTTGCATTCAAAGCTGCTCGGCGTGCCTGGTGCACGTGGACCGATCTGCCGCTGCGTGCAGCAGAAGTCCCTGGCCCAGGCTTGCCCCATCGCCTGCCTGCACAGCCAACCTTGGATACAGCACATGGGCTGATATCCATCCTGGACACTACATCTCTGCAGAAAGATATCAGATTGTGCTGAGGATATAGCAGCTTCTCCGATAAACGGCAGAGCGCTGGAGGATGGTCTCTGTCTTGAGCCGAACGCTGGGCAGTGATTGAATGTTCCAAGGGCACGACACACCCCTGATCATCAGAATGCAGCATAGTCCCGCTGCAGGCCCGTGTCACGCGCCATGACGAATCCGTCGACTGACCTTGGCGACCGTATTTCTCTTAACACATGATCATGTATAACGCATGCGCGGCCTCCTTCTTCGCAGAAAAACGTGCAGCACAATTTTGTCCAATAGTGCCAGATTGGTTTCGCAGGTCATGGGTCGTCACGGCGTCATGGTTCCGTCTCAGGCATCTTGCTCTTGGCCGCTCGCCGGCTTGCTGCGCATCCACCACAGAACTCTGCCGAGCCGTCTGACAGCACCGTCCTCGTGGACGCCAACCCTTCGCCGAGTGTAACTTCTCCCTGAAGACCACAAGCTCAAGTCGGACTCTCGGACTGGTGGAAGTGCCAACACAGCAATATTCACCTTCAACTCTTCTTCGAGACAAGCCTCAAGCAGAGAACAGCAGTGCAGTGGCCCAGTAGGCAAGCACGTACTCTTATCTCACAGCAATCTTGCTGTCCAAGCAGCTCTTTCAAGACGTCCAGCCATCGCTCCGAAGGGTTCCAGGCACGCCAGAGGAGGAGACTGACCCCAAAGCACTCTGCACAGAGGACTGATGCGTAGAAAAGGTCCTGAACGGGGTCAAGCCAGGTCCTTGTCACAAAGAGCAAGGTTACACCGCCTTCTCCGTTACAGACAGGTAGGACAGCGGCGGAATCTCCAGGAGCAGTGACTGCCTAAGCTATCCTAAGCTAACATCAAAGACTCAATAGTCTTGTCGTGCAAAGGCTGACGAAGGTGACACTAGCATCACCCTCCCAGTCGAGCTGAGACGCATAAACCCGAGAGTCAGTAGAATCTTGGTGGACCAGAACTTCATATGCGGTTCGAAGCACATCAAAGACTCCGAAAATGTCCGCCTGTGCTTGTGCTGTGACACCCTCCCGCATAGTAGCACACTCAAGTCAAGCTAAAGTCTATCTCTACGTCGAGTCTATGCTAAGCTTGGGTGCTCGCCAAAGCTTAACAAAAGACTCCAGCAGCAGTACAACGGTCTTCTGAGGATTGATATCGAGAGGCTCGACTGTAACCACGTTACCAATGGCCGCAGTTGACGCAACACTACCCATCCCCAGGAATAAGAAGTGTACTTTCGAGCGAATGCGGTACACGATCTTGTTGAACGACAACGTGTAATCTCCACCAAGGTAGGCTTCCACGGACGTAGTCACCAAATGGTACAAAGCTTCCATCAAGCAGGTTCCATTGAAGAGGTAGATGCCTGCAGCGCAAAGTCGCCGTCACACTCAACCTGACTGCAACATACGGCAACATGTGCAGGCCGAAGCCTTGCTTCGTCAAGTCTTGGAGGCTCTTGTCCAGCTTCGTCGTCCTTTCATCCGAGGTGTTCCCCGAGGCCGAAATGATCTGCAATGCCAAATCAGCGAAGTGCAGCAGCGCCCATGACTCATAAACATCTGCCAAAAGAAAGTTGGTATCGTACCTGCGTTGACTGGCACGGGGTAGCTTGCAAGCAAGGAAAGGGGCCTGCATCCAGATAACCAAAATCATAATCGAACAAATCTGCATCTAAATTCGGGATGCATGTTTTGGCAAACAACAAGACGTGCAAGCCATGTCTTGTTTCCCTCGAAGTCCTCAACATAGCCGAGGCTACCGACTTTGCTGTTGATACAGATCATCCACATTCGTGTCACCGAGCGGTAAGCCATCATGCACGAAATCATTGGCAGTGCTATAATCATGATGCTGCTGTCCATCCCAGGGTTTCCGCGAAGCACGCCACCCTTCGTCCACATTTTGTATACCTTGCCGTGGTATACTCGCATGCTCGGTCGATGTAGCTGGCTGTGCAACACAAAACTCGAAACAACTCATCAGACAAGACTTAAAGGAGGAGGGACATGGCGTGCCGTGTTGGCGAAGCATACGCCGTATGTGAGCAGCAAGAACAAAGGGGCTAAGAGAGAGAAAAAGCGCAGTGGATGGAATCCAGTGGGAAGCAGGTGTCGCAGCTCCTGCTTCCACCTCGTACTGCCACGTCACAGCAACAGGCGTTCGTCTTTGCAATGCCTGCAACTCATATGATTTCTGAGCTCACGGCCACTCTGGCAAACGTTTCTCCTTCTCGTCGTCGTGAAACGCCTCGCGAATGCTGCCAGGATCCAGCCAGTTCGTTGGCTGCAGGAGCCTTGCATGCTGCAGCGCGAGAGGTGGCAAAGAGGTGCACGTGTCCCACCTGTAACTGCTCCGAAGTTCAGTGCAAATCAGGTATCCGCACACAACCTCGGAAGCGCAGATAAGGCGGGACTTCCGCTCCGGAACCGAACCACCACAACAATCCAGATTCTGTGCACCGGACGTACATCAAGGTATAGTAGTGGAAGGCGAGGAGGATGTCCTCTCCATGGCACTGGAGAAAACAGCGGCGAAAGACTCGACTGCAGGCCTCCTTGTGATCTTCGGCTTTTCTGATGCAGAGTTGATGACATTTTCGGCCCCACTTTTTGTACCAGGGAACCGATGCCTGAGCAGAGATCAGAGTACTCTCAGGAAGAGTACAACGTCGGTCTTAGTCGCAGAGAGAAGCAGGCAACCCGTGCAACACAAGACGTGGCATTGGGCTTGAAGTTACATGCGAGAAAAATCCGACGCAAACCAGGCTAAACGAGTCTCGGCATATCTTGCCTGCGCCAGTTGGGGTGTGAGTAAGCACTCGCAGATGTCTTCACGAAGCACATCTCTTGCAGGAGTCCTGCGTGCATGTAGCGGGATTTCAGAGGACAGTGCGGCCTGACGTTCTGTAGCTAGCAATTTTTCGCTGTCCTCTCGAGATAGTCCAAGCATTCACGATATATGTAAAGGGCGAGCAGCCCCAAAGCGAGAAGCGGAGCCACCTCAGTGCACGCTATCTCTGCGGCACCACCGTTCACTCCAAAGCACTTTGCTCTTTGCTTGCACCAGCCACGCAAAGGATCGGCGTGTGCTCGGTGTCTGCCACAGAGGTCATGTCTTAAGGCAAACGTATATTCATAGATCTGCTTTTCCAAGCCAAAAAGCTGTCATAAGCTGTCGAGGACGCATGCACGACTCACTTTGGCAGCAAACTTATGCGCACATAGGAAGCACCATGCAGAGCTTCTTGCATCGACAGGGAACCAGTTGAAGAGCCAAGTTCTTGCGTGCCTAGAACGGCCAGTCAAAGAGTGAAACTTCTGTGTGTCGGAGCTCGCAGACAGGCCTGCTTCAACGCGCCTTGCCTCGGCAAGGGATGCCATGGAATAACATGGGCCGCCGCATGAGTGTCTGCAGGGCAGCATGCCAGACGATGAGTACATGATAATGCATGCCAAGGCCGCAGCAGCGCTGAAAGCATCTGGCATTGACGATGCCTGCTCTGGAAACGGTCCAACATAGATGATGCAGATAAAGCAGAGAGGACAGCAAGCCATGTCGGTTGCTTGCCAATTTTAACGGACGCACTTTTCGATGCTGCGCAGCGGAAACAGTCCTTACCTACAGACTGCCAAAACTCGTTGCTGTTCGACCTTGCCACTGTCAAGCTTCACCGGGCTTTCCACAAGGCCACTCAGGGAAGTACTTGGAGCGAACATCCTCTTTTGCTTGCAGTCGGTTCGGGCAGCAGGTCAGCAAGTTGTTCACGAGCCTGCTACGCCTTTCCATGCCTTGAACGGTTGCATAGGCCATTAGCTGCTTGCATCACCTTGCCGTCCTTGTCCGCATTGGCTGAGAAGGCCGTGGAGTTCACGCCAGGCTTGCCGCCACACCTAGCTGATGCAGCTGATCTGGCTTTCGCTTGTCATCTTCAATCGGTCACGCGGTCCCATCGAGGCCCCTGGCATGTTCGGGATCTGGCCAAGACATGTCACCTGGCATCTGAAATCTTGGTGTCCTACACAAACGGCTCTGAAGCAGTTGAGCCTCTTCCCTGTCGCAGTATCCGAACAAACTGCATATGAGGTCGAAGTCCCTGCGACACGGCAACAAATGCGGGAATTACCAAACGACACTCAGACGACAAAGAAGGGTCCGGAACTCCGGATCTCCAAAATTGGGGACAAGGACGTGCAAAGTCGCAAGGAACTGATGCCACTTGCAGTTCATGACAGAACATCTCAGCCTGGCATAAACTTTCCGGATAAGCATTTTCACGTCTTCCGCCAAAGTGTAGGCGCCTCGATGCTTGCAGCGATCTGAAGACCTTGTGCAATCCCCTGGGGGCCCAGCTGATGTTGTTGCACACATAGTTGTGCAGCGTACGAGGCCTCAGGACTGTTGAGCCATCCAACACGATCACAGCTTTCTTCGAGTCTTTGAGCTCTTTCCAGGGCGACGGCATGGTGATATTGAAGTATCCACGCTCCACCCTGAGTGGCTTCGAAGGTGGCAGTTTCCATCGCGGCTCGGCTGTGCAGCTTGGGCAAAGGCATGAGTGCATTGAACGATTCCGGAATTTTTCGATTGTCAATGGCAGTCGTGTTGGCCTTGGCGAGGTAAGCAATCCGACGCTCCTGCTTGTCTGCTTCCGATACCTGTATGCCTGGGATGTGCATCTGAGGCTTCAGCAAACGGGTTTTCAAAATAGTCCGCCTACTCGGATTCCACTGCTTGCGCTCAACTTTGCACGAGCTGCTGGCGCCTGCGGCAGGAAGTGGCAGTCGGCTCTATAGATGTCTCCTTCCAGGACCTGGTCCAAACAGCAATGGCACCGGTCGAGCTAAGACGCATAGCTCGAAGCGATCATCACAAGACACCTTGGGCAGCTCTGCTCGCAAGTAGGAGTTCACATCGCATGTCCTGTACCTGAACCCGAGAGTGCACCGATTGGCCGGAAAAAGGACTTGTAACTTGTAAGGCGAACGGAGGTCACCAGTTCCGGTACTTCTCGCTCTCTCTCTCCAGGTGCCCTTCCCTCAGGGAAGTGTTTTGTCGGCAGCTCATCGTAAAAATCGAGTCGAGGCCAAAAACCTCCGAGACCAGGCTGCAGAAGCTCACAAGAGTTTCGTAGCACCAAGAACGGTCGCCTGCGCCCGGAAGTCGTTTACAGCCCTGTCGTACCTGGGTCACGGTCGGGCTGCGAATGCCCACTTCAGCTCTAGCGCCGTTGCAAGCCCGTTGCGGATCCCGCAGGAATGTGAACGCCGACTTGTTGCCGTAGTACTGCTGCCCGACATCCTTGGGCAAGTACCTGACAGCCGAAATGGAAAGGCTCCCAACTCTACGGCTTTTTCTTTTGCTCTTCCAGCGCTTCGAGACTTGGATCTGAGTGTCGCACTTCGGCGGCGTATAGTACAAGTGGCACCCGGTCAACTTGGAGAAGCCGCGCAGAACGGGATCCTTCGCCCATGTCGCCCACCAGGGTTCTGTGTTGCATGTCTCTTTCTACAGAGGTGCAGCAACTCTTGTCTTCATCGGTCCATCATGCCCCACAACGGAACATCCGGAGCAGTGGCCTGGGGCATAGGAAGTTGATGCGAAAGTGATTCACAGTAGTCCGTCGCACTGAGCCCATGTCAGAGCGCATCAGCTCAAGCCCCTGGGCCCAGCTTCAATGAACGTTGCAGGAGTACAGCAGCTTCCGGTGCCTCCTCTGGTGTTGTGGTGTTGAAGGACTGCCAGACCTCTGGGCATGTCGGGCTCAATGCATGCCCTAATTTCAAACCACGGAGGGCCTTCAGCCAATCTGACAGGTCAGAACGAGGCAGCTGTAGACCTGCCTGGAAGGTGCAGCAAACACAGCTGGCTACTTCAAGAAGTACCAGCCGACGTCTACACCAAGTAGTCGCAGCATTTAATCGCGGCAGGGCTGCCATTTCCACGCTGTGACCGAAGGTACACGGCACATGTGTCAGTGCCAAATCCTGTCCAAGAATCCGCGCACTGCAGGGCGCTTCTTCAAAGTATAGCTTCCAGCCTTCTGGAAAGGCGACCACTGTGATGGCCGTTGCAGGTGGTGATACCTTAAGACAGATCCAAGCCCTACGCCCTCTGCTGCGAACTTCGAACCATCGTTCTGCCTCTGTAGAAGCTGCACTTCTTGTGCAGCCGCCTCCTCATCAAATGCTTCCTGCATTGCAGCCGGTAGAGGTCGCATGCATGGTCAGCAGATCGTGAGGAACCTCGTCTGAGCAGTGACCCATCTGATCCATCGCCTGGCCAGAGCTGTGACGGGCCCCTCCCCTGCTTTCTTGTACACGCAAGGAGCACCAGCACCGGAATGAGCCAAAAGAGGCTTCCTCGAAAGGCCTGGGCACGGGAACAAATGGCGACCTCTACCTCGCATATGGTGTCTAGAACTTGCGGCCTACGAATACAAATCCCACGCCTGTTTGGACAGCATCGTTGCGTGGACAGCGCACGAGCATGTAATTACCCCTGTGTCTTTTGTAATTCTGCTTTACTGACGCCAGACTGCATGCATCCGGAGCTGTGTTACATATTGTATTCGGCAAAAGGCTGTGTCAGTCCTGCAGCATTGCACCTCTTCGGCTTGCAACATTATGCAGCTGATTTCGCTCTGGCCGCCGGGAGGGTTGTCCGTGCAGCAACCAGCGAGCCAATTTGACTGCGAAAAGAAGAGAAGAGGGTTGTGCTGCACGACGTGACTGCTCGTGACGGGCGGTTCTGTGTTGTGCTGCCAAGCTCTGGCCTCGGACCAAAGAGAGTCCCGGCTTGCTCCGGCCTCAGCACGGTCCGCGTGAGATCGGGACTCTCTGGGCTGGGTCGAGCTGGGTCGAGAGCACTCAGGACAGGGTGCATCGAACTCTCCTGAAGAAAACCACAAGACGGGTGGCGATCAAAGAGCAGTCACCGTCATGAAAATCATATTGCCTCGCTGGGAGTGCAAGGAGGAACCACAGGTCCATCCTGCCATGTTACATGTACACAGCTAGTGCAGCAGCCAGCATCCCTTCTGCGTGGTCCAAAACCTAGGCACATCTAATCTTCCACGGGTCTGGCGCTCGGCCCGATGGTGCTTGCACGACGCTGACTCGTAGCATGCCGACGACGTGACAGGCGAACACACGTTGATATGTCATGATATGATTTGTCTGATGGATACTGTATGAGCAATCCTAGGGCCCCACCAGGCCCAGTCGTCTCCGAAACTCGACCGTACCTAGCCTCCCCACTGTGCAGACTGGATGGTGACTGTTTCGCAAGCACCGTGAGACTGCCCTCTTCCAGACTTGAGATGCCAAAGTCCACTTCCGTCCTTCTCCGAACGGTACTTAAGTAAGCCCAAACCCGTGAGGGTTCTCCCGACTGCCGACAACTTTAGGCACAGTGGCCGTAGATCCGAAGTTTCTCAACATGGAGACGGAAAAGCAGGCACACGATGGAACGGCAGCGTCAAGCTTTCTTGAGCGAAATTCCCATCTCTTACTGTAGCAGCCGATCGCCACGAGTATGTCATTACACACCGAGTCTGACACTGAGAGGGGGAAAGGCCATGAAGGACGGTGCTGCTTTCCACGGCTTCAAGTCAACTTGAAAGGAACCCTTCTCGAATGCGCTCGTTTTGCAGAAAGGACATCCACAACATGTTGGCTGATGCCTCCGACAGTGGGGTCAAAGGTGCTGCTGCCTTCGATGCCTCGGAGATGCACTCAGGCATCAGAATTCCGCATTCTGACGAGCACGTCGTAAGCTGCAGGTGGCAGACATATCCGGATCTGACGCCCTTGGCGAGGCCTGCATGGAGCATGGACGACAGCATATAAAGAACGAAAGCTCAGCCTGTGCCGCGCCTCGAAGAGTACCACCTTGGCGTCCTAGGCCTTGCCCATCGAAAGGTGCAGGAACAGGGGGCCGTCCAAGTGTACCGTGGGCTCCTGGAATCTCCTGCGCTCGCTTCTTGGCTCGGCTCTCAACTCTCGGTAAGGCCAGGCGGCCAGGCCTCTGACGCTCCCAGGGAGCTCTCTCTGCGAAGGCGTGCCATGGCCTTTGCTTTCGGGCTCAGCCTTCGGAACGCTGTGCTGAAGCAGCAGCCTGCTCCTGTCTTGACAGACGCTCGCGAAGAACTTCAACGGTAACCTGGCAGTACGGCGCAGTGAGCCTCAACGTGTAGTGAAACTGCCAACTTGCTTGTGTTGGTGTCCGGCACGCAGCTCGGTAGCATCTCTCTCGTATCGATGGCCTCGGCGGGGAGCCCTCGGCCACATTATGGATTTCCGTCGTGAGCACGGGCCTTGTGCAACTTGTGCCTCCAGGTGTGCGCATGCCTGCAGACTTCTTTTAGTCACGAGCGTCTGACAACAAAATTGCCAGTTGAAGTGTCCTGAGCTCCCAACTCTGCTGGATTCCATCGCAGACCGGGCCTGATCTGAGCTCTGTCTGCTCGTGTACTACTCTGGGGCATGCCTGCCTCGACACGTGCGCTTTGCATCTCGGCCTTTGCGTGACTAGTGCATCAAGTGTGATCCGAAGCGTTACTTCGTCCATGATCACCTCGCTCTTCTTCAGCTGCTCCTGCAGGTCTCTGATGGTGTCCTGGCCGGCTCTATCGTAACATGAAAGCTGATCAGGATTAATCAAATCCTCATTCGCGCAGCTTGCAGCATGGGCCTCGGCCTGCCAGGCTTTCACTTCGAAAGGAGACGGCTGCGACTGCGAACGGCCGTTAGGTATCTTGTGTCCTTGCTCACACTCTATGCATCGCCATCCCGCGTCCAGCAGATAGAGCAGTGCAAAACTCCCAGTTCAACATCAGATTCAGCTGATTCTGTGCCTCAAGATGCTGCGCGAGACGAGCCTGTACAAACAGCGAAGATCATCGATATCAGTGACACCGTTGCTGATGTGCAATTCGTTGCCTCAGCTTTGTTCCGATCGGCCTCCGCCATCCAGCCTGTCAACAAGGAGTTCAGGACAAGAAGGAGCACTTCTCGTATGCTTGCTGTTTCGAATGCCGCTGACCACACGGTCCAGCTCTCTTGTGCCTGCTGGCAGGTGGTATTTCATGGTATCCAGTGTAGTCTTGCCTGTTTTAGTCCCGGATGCCGACGATCTCACAACAGCAGTCCAGAATCGGCAGGAGCACAAAGTAATTACTGGCTTTTAGTGGCATGCCTTACCAGGTTGTACCCAGTATAGCCAGAACGGCCCATGCTCTGACGTCATGCGACATGCCGGAAGTGGTTCTGGTGCGTGGCGGAGCCTTCAATACAAGCTTCTTGCTCTCTTTGCTCCATGGTCAGCTTGGCATGCCAAAGAGCCTGTACATCCCAAGTCGGCCGTTCCATCTTGCTGCTCTGTGCACTGGGATCCACACGTTGGTCTCTTCCAGCTCGTTCCGAAACTGCAATTGCAAAGCTTCTAGCTGCGCCTCCAGGACAAGGCGGGGAACTCCTTTGGAAAGAGATCCATGGCACCGTCCTGCATCTCGTTTTTCACGGCCTGCTTGATTGGCGCACAAGTGGAGCTGCTGCCAATCCTTGAACACTTTGCCTGCTCCGCTTCGATCTTCGATCGCTTCTCCGAAGCTAATGCCTTCGGGCTCTTGTGGCAGAGCAAAGGATTTTACGTTTGCAGATTGAACCGGGGCCCGGGGCCGCGCGAAGCTGGTCCAGCAGAGCCGTTGGTGCCAAAGACGCCTGAGATCCCACTTCTCTGGAGAACGGATACCGACCTGGGCTTGTTTCGCCTCAAGCACTGAGACTCTGGCAGGTGTCGGTGCCGGTCTCGCAGTCGCAGTCTCTCTGGAGCCATAAATCCTGGACTCGACTACGACCCCCTTGCATATGAACAAGCACGAGCTGCTTCATTGTCACTATCCGCAAATAGTATAGCCCGTAACGGTCTGTTTCAACGAGACTTCTGTAGGCAGACGTACATGGAAACCACTTTGGATTGTGCACCTCGCAGATTGACCAAACGGAAGAAGCTGTGTCCTGGCTGCAGCATGTCGTAGTCAAGCAACTCAGAGGACAACGGCGACCACACTGACTGCACACTCTTCTGCAAGATTCTCTCCTTCTTTCTTCGCCGCCATGGCCTGTTTTGCCGGAACACGTGATGACAGGGTGGCAAGTCTTCCACATTGGCCTGTTCTCGGTTCTGCTTGGGATGCGCTTGCGCTGCTGTGACCTGGAATATCGGCCGTGCCACGTCTGTCGTTACGAGCTGTGGCACAAGAAGGGCTAAGGTCTTGAAGTGACCTTGGGCCTCCCGACGCCGAGTTGGTCCAGCGGAAGCTGGGCGGGGGCCCATTCTGACGCCATGGCGACCAACGAGCACCTCTGCCACACGTTGGACGCTGGACACCGTGCAGATGCGGAAGGCGAAAACCCGTCCCTAGTGTGACCTGCTGGCGGAGTTATATTCGTCATGTCTGCAGGTATGCTTTTTGCTGGATCTGCTCTGCATGAGAGGGAACTCTTGGGCCAGGTACCTGAAGAAGACATGTTTCTGAAGCATGCCGATGCGCAATGAAAACACATTCAGCAGCTAATGTACTGCTGGGGTCTTTTACACTTCTTGGTTTTGCAGCTAGTGCCGCCGCCGAGCAGTTCAACCAGCTGCACTTAGCTGCAGCTGAACAGCAAGTGCGGCGCCATGCGGCAAACATGCTAGCTCTCTGGGGCCAACAAAAGCAAAGCCTTGCATGTGAAGCTTCGTGCATCTTCTGTTCACCAAGTGGACCCAGCTCGAGAGCCTCGCATTCGCATAACTAGCTGGGACAGCGCTGATGGCTGCACCAGGTGGAACTTCACTTGCCAGCAGCGACAGTTCCTCTGAACTTGAGCGCCGCTTCAGAAGCGCGAACTTGGTGTGGCATCCAATCAATGCCTGGAACCGCATCGAGCTCCAAATCTGCACAATAGACGTGCCCGGCGACTTGCAAACCGCTGCGCTCCTGGTTTTTAGAGCTTCGACTGCAGCCTATTTCTGATGATGTCCTCTGCTTCGACCACCTCAGGGGGGTCCGTTCGTCAGCCCGGACATGACACCCCCAACGGTTCTGGAGGCACTGGTAGGTTCTCAGGCATGAGCCATCCTGTCAAGTAGCTCCTTGATGGCAAGACTTGCTTATGGATTCCCGAAGCCATGGGCGTGGCCACTTGCGACTCCCACGACACGGGCCGTCCTGGCATGTGGGGATGTCCTTTATCAGGCCAATGGACTGCCCGCAGGACCTCTGGCTTCGGCAGCGCAATAGCATGGAAGGATTTCCGCTGATGCGTTGGTCAGAACAAGGTCTTCCTTTCAAGGGGATGCCGAGTCTCCGACCATACGGAGCTCTCGGCATCTCCGGTCTCCTGCACGCCACGAGGTGTCTCAATTCTACAAGGCGCAATAATCAAACGTCACATCGCATCAGCGGCCTGGAAGGATTTT